TAGGGAATGTCACCTAGGAGAAGAGAAAATGAGCCTGAATCACTGTGTCCCCAAAATAGAAAATATACCAAAATAAATAGCATTGTATTACTTCCAATTCTTGAAGTCTAGGATCCATCAATGTAAGTGCCCATTTTAGAAAGAGTTTTCATTTTGCCACAAAACCACTCATATACTGTTAAAAGATAAACTTAGGCACATTATAATTTTCAAGTGTTTCTTTGAACAAACATCAATTTAAATCAGGCAGCTCTAAACCAAATGTGGTTAGGAGTTTTTCTACAGACAGGAGCTGGGGCAGAGGTATTTATGAAGTAGATGTGGAGGCAAAACAATGAAAATGTTTGATTGGCCATAGTTTAAGCGTCTGCCACATTAGGAAAACCTAGTTGGCTGCTTGTGATTGACTTTCCTTAAGTTTCATTTTCTCAGATTCAAGTGAATTGGGCCTGCCTTTGGTTTTGGTTTGCTTACACAGGCTGCCAAGGTAAAAAAGATATCTAAGTCTGATGGTTTCCTTGTTTAATGACTTTAAAAATATTCAATTCCATATTTCTGAAGTTGGTTAATTATTTTTTCCAGTTAAGAACAATCGTTCAACTAAAGGAAAGATGGACTTACCTATTTTCTTGTACTTCGGTCCCCTTTATAATGACAATTTGCTTTTTTGCTAAATGTGTGCCTTCTTAGCTTAAATTGCTACTTGTTTGTATCAAATACTGAACTTTACCTACTTTTAGTAATTTTTTTTAAGTAATCAAGTATTTTTCTTTTAGTGTGTCCATATAGTGGAACACCATACAGCCATTATAAATTTGTATCTCATAGTAGTATCTACACATAGAGGAAAATACTTATGAGATTATAAGTAAAAAAGAGAATATATACACAATTTTGGAAAAAAGTATGTATAGGATCAACTTTTTAATACATGTTCTACAATAAAAAACAATAAAGGGTCAATTTTAATGTAAGTAATTCACATATACTATATAAATAATACTGTACCAGAAACATTTACATTATTTTAAATTTTATTGCTTTTATAATTTTTTATTATTAAGGAGTTTTTTTCTTTAATAATAACAATTAAGCAAAAATAGATGTCTTAGAATAAGACACTAGATGTAGTGTTGTGTTTAATAACAGGGAACTCTCACTTTCTTCAGGATTTTCTGCACATATAACTATAACCATTCTATTTTAATGGATAGACAGGAATATATCAAACAACTGTACATCTATTTAACACTCAAAGGACAAATCCATCCACACTGACTTCCCATCAACCTAACTATTTTTGTAGCTAAATAAAAAACAGAGAATATGATTATTTGTATCCCCATCACCTTGGAATCTAAAAACAACTTAGTTCATAAAAGACTATCAATATTATTATTAATAAATGCCATTCTAATAAATTAATTTTTTCCTGAGTAAAATATTGATCAAGATATGATTATTCCACTTAGACTTTTGGTACTACTGCTCTACTAAAGACGTCCTCATCAAAGGTCAATGACTGCACATAGCTAAATCCAGTAATCCCCTTTGGCTTTTCATCTGATTTGATGTATCAGAAGGATTTGATATAGTTTATTAAGAGAGTGTTTCCAACAGAAAGACCTAATGAACTACTCTACAGTGAGTCTTATGCATTATTTTATTTATTCCCACAACATATCAGCAATTTGACAGATGTCCATATCAAGTTTCACTGAGTAGCTAGTAATTACACAAGTAGTAAGTGATGCCGTCTTACTCCAGAAACCTGGTTCTTAACCACCAAGTCACCTTCTTTAATATCTGATATTAGGGTGACGGTTGTGGACTCCATAGGTCCTTTTCCTTCTGGTAATGACACCTTAACTCAAAACAAATAAGATAATGCTGAGCGAATCAGATGCTATCCTGAGTGAGTGCTTCTTACTTGTGGCATCAGATACATGCTTCCAAGTAGCTTTCAAATCATCTTCTGGCAGAGTCATTTGGATTTTACATTTACAGCCAATACTGATTATGAATATAGACGCCTTCTGCTCACCACCCCCAAAACCTGGACATTTACCTGCAACTCTCACAGTCACAGCCAACAGAGGACCACATCATGGATCCAGCTAATTTATAACTGCTTAAGCTCCCAGTGTATTTGATACCTCAAACACTGCAAGGGTTCAGAGCTTTGAAAGACTCTGAAAAGGCAAGTCACCAAAAAGTGTGTTGACATTATTTAGGAGATTTTTTGCTCAATGCAAAAGAAGAGAATGAGTGAAAAAGTAATGATGTTAATTACTATATTTTGAGAAACTGTTCCTTGCAGAACACTTTTCTGGGAACTTTTTTTTTAAATTGTCAAACAACTCTATGGAGTATCTATTGGAGTTTTCTATGATAGACAAGAAAAAAAGATTAAGAGCAATTAATTAACTTGCCCAGGTAAACTTAGTGAGTGCAATGAGGATTTAAACACAAGGCAATCTGATTAGAAAATTCACAGTCTTTCCCCTACACCAAGCATACTTCCAGGAGACGTGTACTTCCGGGAGACATATCTGAGTATGTACTCAACTATGACTCCAATGCTTTAAAAGTGGCCTTCAGTTATCCTTAGTGTCTATACAGATAACTCTGGCAACAAATATATTCAGTATCACTTTTCCTCAGCTCATTATCCAATTTTTAAGTGATAAGAAAGGTGTCATATATCATAATAAAATTTATTGAGAACTTCATCTGTATCAGACATTCCACTGAGGGCTTTAAAAGACTCAACTCATTTTAACCTTTACAATAATCTTTTGACATAAATATGATTATTATTCTCATTTTACAGTTGAGCTATCTGAGACACATAGAAATGAGTGTATGCAAGGTCACAAAATTTGAGACTTGTAGAGCCAAGATTCAGGACCAGTTCTCTCAGCGCTCATCATTTGTCCCCATGCCTGCATACCTCTCTAGCATTTGCTATATCCCAGGTGCTTTGCCGGATACTATGGAAAGTGATAGAACAAAGGTCTGGGGCTTGACTTCAAAATAAGTTGTGGTTTATTGGGAGACACCAAGCCTTTATAAACAAATAAGTACAGTAGGTTGTGATAGAATTATTGTTACTGACAGTGGGAGGCAGGCCAGAATGGAGAGCTTCCTAGGGGCAAAGAAGGAAGTGTTGTGTGTGTGTGATGAAAGGTTTCCCACAGGAGGGAGAGTCATGGATGTGAGCTTGAAGGTGTGTGGACTGTTGTCATGTGGGGAGGAAGGCGTTTCTGGCAAAGGAAAAGAAACTGCAACTATTTAGATACAGAAGCAGGAAACGGAATGGATGGTTTGTCAGAAAGGCTGTCAGATCCATCTGGAGTATAGAGAGTGTGTCTGTTAGAAAGAGGTTAGATGGACTGCAGAGGGTTTTTATGCTACACTCAAAAAATTCTCAAAGACAGTGCCTTCACCTGAACCAGTATTAAAATGCTTGAAATGTCAGGGTTTGTGGCAAAAAGCTTGGTGGTCGTAGGGAGACAACTACCATTGCTCAAATCAGTATGTGCACAGTAAGCCTGATTAATGAACGCATGCATATTTAGGATCAAAAATGAGGAAAGAGACACCCTCCTAAAGACTGACCACTACGTGTTATGAAGCAAATCAGTGGGCATGGATAATCTAAAACTCAGTCCCTCTGACTCCACACTCTGTGCTCTTTCCACCTGACGTACCACTAAAGTTCCAACTCTCTGAGCCTTATTCGTTAGACAATCGAATTCAGTAGGTCAGAGTCCCAAGAATCTTCCTCTATCCTAAGTAGCCCAGTGATTTTGATGCAAGTTAATATATAACATTTTGAGACCCATTGCAGTATCAGCCACATAAATAGGCATGACTGATTAAATCATTACCACCCCTGATTAGTTCAAACTTCAGCCCTTCTCCCATGGAGTCCATGGTTGGACTGAAAGTTCTAATTCTGTAATTACATGGTTGGTGCCATTGGCGATCAGTCCTAACGTTAGGTGATTTCCACAAGTCACCTCACTCACATGACAGAAGACATCTTTATCACTGTGAAAGCTTAGAAAATTTCAAAGTTTGGGGAGTCCTGAGCCAGGAACCCTGGTGAAAGACCAAATATATATGAGAAATGCATTTTGGTCATTTGAATGACCAATAAATTTATTTCTCTTGTAAATCACAACATTACAATTATCTCCCTCAAACATATGTATGCATATGTATGTAAAATATTCTAAGTCTAATGTAAAGGTGATAAAAAGAATGATAGTTCATAATACAAGTATTATACGGTGATAATTACAGGACTTATTGTAAAATAATGTAAATTTAAATATGTAAATGCTAGAATACTTAGTGAAATGGATACACACAACTGTAGAATCTTTGTGACTGTATTAGTGACTCAAATATCAAGAGCTGCATTTACATTGGTAATCTTTCTGACAAGGTGAATTATTCTTGATAAAGCTCCAAACAAAACAAATGACAATCTTCCCTCAATTTTGAATTCCAAGGAAAGACTAGCAAAATATACTTTGCATTTATCTGTAAAGTGGAGTAGATTTCAAACTCACTTAATTGTAAAGAACTTTTTTCAAT